TGATCCGCCACCTGTCACAAGGGCCACCTGCTTCGTGTAAGTCTCATATTCATTTGAATATAAAGAAGAGGGGAATTACCTTGCCCTTGACATTGAACACATTGCTCAAAAGGAAGTTCTTGTTGGTGTCAGACATTTTGGTTGTAGAGGTTGAGAAGTGATTTGAAGGTTGTTGAAATTGAGGATTGGAGATTCTTTTCATGTGGTTTTGATATGGCGTTATGGAGGAAATGCTCCGGGATGGAATTCTGCAGACGCTTCGGTGGGATGAATTGGCAAATGTCATTGACGTCATTATTGAGAAGTGTTTAGGACTACCGATACGTAATAATGGATTTTGTGACATGATTGTGGACTGTTTCTTCCAGAATGTGAGTGAAAGACGTAATGTTATTAATTGAAGATGTAAGAAATTATTGATGAATCGAATCGAAAGGAGAAAGAGATAGAAAAAGAGAAGCTACTAGCGAAAGCATCTCAAATGTATTCACGCCGTCAAACTATAATCACAGATGCAGAAAGCAATAAAAACATGCAGATTCCCATAATAAAATGAATCGTCGATAACAATTCCCATCTTCTTGGTTTTGTGTGCCTAAAGTCGGTGATGTCAATACTAATGTGGAGTCTGGACCTGAAGATCTCTCCCCGCATTTTAATCGATGACGTTTAGCGAATGGGGAGTTGTCACATGATTGTCACGCTTTATCTCTTTCCACATCTTCTGTGTTGTAGCATCAGCGTCGGTTTATTTGTTAACTAGGCATCATCCTCAGATTTAATGAGGAACAGGTTCCTGTATATATATATATATACCTGTGCAAATGAATCGAATGTCAAAACAGGATACTATCTGGGTAATCAGTTTGGTGGGGCGAATAACCTGTCAACGTTTGTAAGTTTTCTCGCAGACTAGTTCGTGTGCTGATAACCGCTTCAGAGTTCGAAAAGAAAGAGAAAATTACCGTCACTCTCAGTAAGCCGGATTCTAATTCATCCTTGAATGCGAACTCCGCGGTCTGAGGTCTGATAGTGCTAGACGAGAAGTATTGGATGGACTTCGGTCTATATCAAAGACTCCCCTTTTATTATTACAAGGTATGACAGGCGATGTTATTTGTATTTGCATCTCCTTGGGGTTCTGTTTGTCAAGTTCATGACAAAACTATCTTTATAACAATATCTCGAAGATGCAACAACTTCCAAAAGTAATCTCTAAGGAGGTACTAGTCATCATCGAGTGTTACAAAAATCATATTTCGGTCATTTCAAATACCTACGTACCTACCTAGGTATACAAAGTAACTTCGTCAAAAAGCTAAGATGAGAGTATTTATATGTATAGGAATTAATATCAATGAATATAAGAACGTACCTCAGCTTCTCTCCTCTAGTCTCTTTACCTGCGAAGGAGGAAAAGACTAATTCCAACTCGGAAGGCTAGGCTGGTCAAGATGAATGAATATTTCTGGAGAATGGAGAAGGATTTTTGGGGCTCAATGGAGGAGTCTTGCAACTAGTGTTTTCCGTATTTCAGACACGCTCTACTTAAGTAGTACGCATTGAATTTATTGAAAATATTTCAATTACTCTTATACCTTCGAAACTATATTTGTTTTCTTTTTATGTCTTTTAGAATCTATAATAGAATCTACTTATAGACGATAGAATCTAATCACTTTAGGCTAGATTCTATAGTGGAATAAGGGGTAGATTCTCTAGGTGTATTTCTATTTTTCCTTTGAATTTTTCGAAACAGAAAAAAAATCGCTTTTAATTACCATAGGTTGAAATCTACAATTTTGAGGTAGTTTCTACAGCAAATTATATATAGAATCTACTAAAGAATCTAAAAAGCATAAAAGCAAATTGTCTTTCAGTTTCAGGATATAATAATAAGTAAATGCTTTTTGGGAGACATAAGAGTAATTTACCGTTAAAAATAACTAAAGTGCTAGAATTTGAACATATCAGCCTCAGACTTGTATCTTACTGAATAATTTGTCTCTGATATCGGCAATTTTCTTCGGAATGTATAAATCTAAGCTCAAATATACAGATTCCAGGATTTCAATACATTTTATATATACGACTATATGCGAATGATCTCAAGTCATTAGCCTATTGTGGTGGAAAGAAGCGAAATGGCTAGGCTTAGAGCAATCCTTTAGAAGGATTGTTATTGGTTTACATTGCTTAACTCTCTAAACAAAATACAAGATTATTATCTGGGACCTAGTGTGTAAGTCCTACGTCGTCTGTGTTCTACTGGAACAAAGAGTCAGTAATACTTCTTCTGTATGATATCTACAGCCATGGATATTGTTGGTTTTGATATGTACTATAGTACGTGTAATAGGTCTAATATCAACCGCAGTATTGCTAGCGCATGCTAACTACAATACTACAAGGGAGGACAACAGAGGAGTTCACACGGCGTTGAAAATAACTTGCCGACTACACCTGGTACCACCAGCTCCAAGTTTCATATGTAGTCCAGCAGATCACCAGGAAGAATCAGATGGTCAGAAATTGCTTGCAGATTAACAGATTGAGGCGGAAGAATTCGACATCTTGGAACAGCTTGTCAACGGCTGTAAAGAATTCAAAGCAACTGTCCATGACGTTTATTGAAAGCAATTCGAAGGGTGACTGAAACTCTAGGGAAAATCACCCCTTGATGTTAGTGCAATTTGTCATTCCTTGGTAGGCTAGGTTTTACCATACTCTGGCTTTGGCGCCTACGCTGATGCTTTCTTCAAACTTCTGACACGTAGGATGATTCAACTCTAGGCTGGTTTGAAATACACTATTGAGACTCCAAGGCACAATATTAGAGCACTCTTGGGAAATTTATTACTTTCTCAGTAGCTGGGGATCAGCGATCGAATCAAGGCTTTAAAACAAAGCACCAGATCAGAGGAATCCCAGAAAAGTACGGATCAAGAATTGACGAATTCACACGGGAACAACCCGGGAACGCACAAATAAGGGTGAGAAGGAGATGCTTCCTGGAAAGAAAAAAGATGAAAATCGATAATGAAGGATTAGTTGCACATACACGAGGAGTATACAAGCGCGTAATGGAAGAACGAAAGCAGATTTCTGGAAGATCTATTCAATTCGGTTCGCAAGAAAGTTACATTGATGGCAACGTGCTTGATAGTATTATGGATTGTAGATCCGTGATTGCAGATGATGACTGAACTCTTGGGAAGTTTTAGGACTCATAGAAACCCAGGTATATCCCATCAAGAACTCAAGGGAGCGTGGTAAATATGCAGAACAGATTCTTATCTGAAGCAATCACTATGAAATGATTGTTGTAGAGATTGTATTAACCTTGTATATCAGTCCAAGGAAGCTATAAGAATCAATTCAATCAAGGCAATAATATTATCCCTCCTTTCATAGTGTAGTGTTCTGTCACCAAAACCCACCCACCGCGTCAACAATGAATGAGGGCGTTCTCGCCGGAAGCGATGCTAGAACTGACATCTACAAGGAAGCTTACGTATAATCTTAAGACTCTGTCTATAAAGTATCTAACTCGGATATAAAGAAAGGAGGGGGAAATCAACCCACTATCCATGGAAAGTTTTTTCAAAAAAATCGAGTTCAACCTGGATACAATGACGTTGACAAAGTTCTCATACATGGATGTCAGAAGACAGAGAAGCACAAAGGTATCATCGACTAACATTTCTCAATTCACTGTAAAATTATTGATATAACGACTACCCACCTGCTTCGTCATTCAGATCAACATTTAGCCGAAGCAACATGTATTTTACACTCTTCCTTGAGAAAATGATGTCATTCTAAACTCTATACGTTGGATCAATCCCCTAGAAATCGTATGTTGCAATCGGATACAACTTTCAAAGCATTTCTTGTATTGTAGTCTTGCTCCTAGATATTTAGATTGGTGGACTTTTAATATCTGTGAACTCAACGACTTCGGGTGAGCGCATCAATCCATGTGAATATCAATTTGTAACCTTGATTTATGGTCGAGATGTAACCACTCATACATCAAACAGATCCTGAGAATGAGAAACGTACATTCAAACATTAAGTTCTCTTATATTTATCACACCATTTGCACAATACAAATTAGGCGATAGCCAACTCGAATTCTTGCGTCCTTCCAAGATAGGAAATCTTGACACCTCAACAACAAATATCGTGCTAGTGCAGCCAATTTTAAAAGCGTAGCAAATCAATACTAACAACGACAAACACAAATGACAACTTAAAGATTGTCGCCAACATGCTCCTCTATCCCCCCCAATGATCATTGGTACCATTTAAATGCCAAGATACTTCATTCACAACTCATTACCTTTCTCGGCACAGCTTGATAACACTACCAGTGATATTCTGCAGCCCGGATGATCATCGACTCAACGCACGAAGAGATTTTCCTTGCAAAAGGCAACCGCACATCACTGACTCACCGTGAGGACCATCAAGCCCTGTCTAGCTGATGATCATGCCCCGCAATACGGTAAAAGTTTCCGGGGTACCCCATAACCAGTATGCAATATTTCGAAATCCGACAACTCTACCACGCAATCCACTTGCGAATCGACATCATCCACTGGATTATCATGATACCATGGTCGCATGACCAAATGAACAACACACTCAAGCTGAGAAAAAAATCCTTCACAACTCCTTGTATCATAACATTATGAATAATTCTTGGACTGTCGAAAATTCACGACAACCAACCATACAGGCAGGCACTCGAAGCGCTCTTGCCTCAAATATTCCAGGACGCGATTTACAGTGATTTTCCGACTTCGGTTGGATCACTCACGCGACGCCTTCAATCTTTGCCAACTGGGAAAAAGGAAAGAAAGCTGAAAGGGCTGAAAAATACCAATAGTTTGTTGGATGCAGTATGTAAACTTACTGAAAGATAATCCTTTCTACTCTCGTGATAGACGAATCTTATTCACGGGAAGAGAATATCCGAGCACATGACCATCAACATGTCAAAGTTATTTCTCCCACCGCGCGAAACTGGCGGTAAGACTTCGGGATCGTGGAAGTTCATCCCCAATTCATTCGTACTCGCACACGGATTTCCGTTTGGGTCGCCAACCAACATCTACATTCCATCCTCTCCACCTCCTCCTCTCCTCGCTTCTCACCACTCATCCTCTCCTCTCCACAATCCCTCTCAAAACCACTCAAGGCCGAGTGACCGCGCAAATCCACAGCCTCCTCTCCTCCACGATTCCCCAGGCGCTGCCGGTGTAGCTTCGGGTATTTCATGGCATAACCTGAATCCCCATCCACCCATCCACCCATACGTAGATACCTTGGTTTCGCGGCTCGTTCTAACAGCCGACCAAATATCGAACAGGAACATCCGACCACCCAAATCACTGCCATTCTCAGCATGACTCCAAGCATTTCAAGCATAAATCAAGTGCCGAGTGAGTTGGAACAGCGGGGTGTGTTTCGGTGGCCCTGACATTAGTGCTGTTTTACGAGGTTTTATAATGTTTTAATTTTCTTTTTCTTTCTTTCTTGGTAAAATTATATAGTAATACGTGTTGAATTTTCGAAAAGATGGAAAGGGAAGGTCATTTCGAAGGCTGGACGAATAAGACGGGTGAGCGGTTACGGTGTGTTGTTGTTACGGGATGAAAATGGAAATAGTATGTCCGGGTGAGAGAGTGGGAAATGCGTGATTTGACGTGATGAATGATAAAGGCCTATGTGGCGTATTTTCCCCTCGTCTAGCAGCTTGATTTTTCAGCTTCCTCCGCGCTTTCTGTTGACCTAACCGGCCTCTGTTTTTTTTCTCCTCAAAGCCCGTCCGTCCCCTGGAGAGTTTGGTTATAGAATCTTGAAATTATCACCACGCCCCTTCCTAAGTGGATGTCCTCCTCCGCTAAATACAAGATTATGTAGGACTTGGGGCTTCGCAAGCCTTACTTGAGTCCTAAAAGGACCTTTTTACCCTAAAAGGTGGAGAGTTGATAATAGTAACGGATAGGTCAAGCGGAATTTCGGTCAGATTGTGGGGTTTAGCAACACTAGCCTCTAGGTGATAATTGTTGGAATTTTCGAAAATCTTGGAGGGGTACTCCGTATTGGCATGAAATTGGAATATAGTTGGTTCCCACTTGATGTGTGTTGGTGTTTTGTGCTTGGTTGGAGATTTATGAATTCTGTCTGTTGGTAAGCAGTATTATATCTGGGACTGTGACTATTTGGGGATGGATCGATCATACGAGAGGAAGGAGATTGCAATGGCTAATTTGATATGGACAGAATGGGGGATGGAGGGGTAGGAGCGTAGAGGGAAGAGATAAGGGAAAGTATTTGCATTACTATAATCTTCCGTAGATGGACTTGGGAAACGGTAAGTGCCATCGTATTTGAAAAGCCATATCTAGATACCAGGCTTAGAACCATATTCAATGTTCATAATTTCTCAGGAGATAGACCTAGACTAGCATTTAGCTCTGCGGGACACGACCTAGCCAAAGTCTCAAGCCCATATTCATGTAGTTGGAAATGCCGCGCCGTGATAGCTCAATGAATGGAACATAAAATAGAACTTCGAGAACGTAAAAGAAGTGCCCAGATCTTGCCACCTCCAATGTCTAGAGCACGTTTCTTGACATTAAATTGGCGTTGATAAGAACAAAAGTTAAAAAAGAGAGCGAGCGTATATGCAAGATTCCGGGGAAAGTGATGTAATATTGACTAACTGGGATACTGAAACCTACAAACATAAAATAGAGTTTTCGAGATATGAAAGATGGCATATAACAATGCCGATTACCAGAAATTGTACATCTGGCTGTGATATCGAGGAGTCGTCACTCTTTTTGATCTGGAGGAGGAAGAAAACTTTTCCGAATCCCCTAGCTTTACCCGATACTTTGGTATCTCCAAGCTGACACTTAGAGTTGGCATTTCATGGAGATTTGCATCGTTGGTCTATGAAAGAAAGCAGTAGTGCCTCTTGGGTCTGGGGTCCCCAATAAATTCAATATAAAAGAGTATCATTGGCAAAATGGGGTATAATAATCAGTTTCCTTACCTCCTACCCAAAACGGATAGTGGACTGAAAATTTGCACAAGAACAATAAAATATCATCCATCGACTCTTTCACATGTCTGATCCAACATTCCCACAACCGATATCCCAGATGTATGTGAATGCAGCGCAGCAACATGCATCGATGTTAAGGCCTAGCACACCACTAACAAAAAGCTTATCGCCCGCCCTGAAAAGGTATGGGGAATTTAATTTGCGGTTTTCGGACCAAATGGACACACTCATTCTCACGAGTCACGATAGCATCATTTTCCTCGCCGCTCGGAGCTGAAAGCGGTATCTGGCCCTCCATTCGGTTTTGCACGTCTGCGAATGGGGCGCATAATTCTACTGATTTGCGAACTGGCTTCTTCTCATCAGCGTTAAGAGTATCCGCCGCGGACATCAACCCATTCACACAGTAGCGACGGAGAAATTATCAGCATACCAACCCATCCGTCTCATCTAATTTCACAATGTCTACGGACGTAATAATCACCGTGTCTCTTTTCCCCATGAAATTCAATAAACGTGCCCCACGATGAAAAAAAAGGCCGAAATGGAGACTTGTGAGGGATACCTCGGGATCGAAACAGCCAACGAAAGATACGACAGACGAGTAATGTTTGGCGCAGAAGTGCTCAAAGTGCTCAAAGTGTACGAGGATAAAAGGACCGGGAGATTTCGGAATCCACTCTGTTAATGTGAAAGTATGGAGATATTTGAGGATCAAGATCCACAATAAAGCCGTCCATCAAATACATGGATGGTATCGCATCGTATGCTATGCTATGCGCTGGTGGGATGATTTTGCAATATCACGTGTCTTTAGATGTCTTTGGATAAAATTGAAATTAGATGTGAAAGTGCACGCACGTGTTTGAGGAAGATTGACCAAAGGAAGTTCATAGAATCGGAATTAGTTGCGGCAATTGAGTAAGTTTGTTGAGCATCGGAATTAGTGGAAATGTGCGTGAACCGAAACCCCTAGACGATGATTAATTTTAGATGAGGCTGGATGTCTAGACTACATATCTATTGATCCAATAGATTGAACTATTTGAAGTATTGACTGTATTCTGTGGTGCAATCGATATATTTGAGCACAACTTTCATGCATTGATCTGCCAGGCTTTCTTTGCATCTAGATCTGGTCATGGTCACATAGTCATAACCATGTCATCATCCTGAAAGCATCTACCGTAAATCCTGATTTCCCATCCCAATATGGACCTGAATCTTGTCTTGATGATCAATAACCCATCTGACATTCGGAACATGGCCTCCGTATCACCACGCACGGTGATATCTCAAACTGCGTTCCTACTTCCATCCCTCCTGTGATCTATCCCCTTCCATCTTCACCTTGATGGCCCAAAATACGGCACAAGGCCTGATTAGGGGGGTCGTGCCTGAGTACGAATTACCCTTTTGGAATTATCCGACAATGCGGGTGTTCGTTCTTCCCTCCACAAATTAGTCCTGGGGTATGATCGGCCCCGCATTCATCAAAGTTGTGCTTCTTTCTTTTTCCGGCTAGGATTCCTTCAAAGCGCCATTTGAGACCAATATCGTGCAATTTGTGTATCTCTCATTCACTCGAAATCCAATAAATCTCTGATTAATACAGTAATCATTGACTGGGATGGAAATCCCATGGGAGAAGCACCATCCAGTAAGGTTACTTTGCGAATGCCAAATGAATTTAGATTATCCTTCGAGGCTCAATGAGATGGAAGACCGGGCGACCGTTCCATCATTCATCCCCCTTTACACGCTCGAATAGTATCACTCCGCCGCTGTGCATCCGAACAGCCGAATGAACCCCTTTGAAATTAGGGTTTCTGATATTATTTATCGTAAAATTGGTATGAGAGAAACATGACGATTCACAACCCCATGTTCTCCGGCGAAGCAATCACAGTTCCCCGTTGCATTGATCTTCAGTGCATTTGATGCAATACCAAGCGCTCAAATCTACTGGAAACAATATCGAGACTCCCAATGGACTCTTATTATTCGTGGAGGGGATTTGTGTTTCAAAAGTATGAATATGGAGAACAATCTAACGGTATCTCTTCCTTCAGGGTTATATGTCGATGATGAGTTGTCCGAAGCCTATCTTTCCATAGTAGCCATTTATAAAAGGGAAAAGATAAGTAAAGTTCAGTCACTGGACGGGAACGGAAGTAAAAAGACGCGTTTACTGACCCCACAACAAGGATCCTCATTACCCCAGTTCTCAAACCTCAGCTCTCATCCTCCGTACAACCCCCACGCATAAAACCAATCTTGTGTTTTCGTGAAGGCGTGAGGGCGTCACCAACTACTGAAGGCCCCCTGGTGTGAGACAATCGTATCAGCATCAGCTGTAACATTGTTAGAAACCCCCATACTGGATCAAGAATGATAGGTTTATAGAGCGCTGAGTATATTATGCTTAGGTGTCCACAGTCGACTGCGCCTCATTTTGCTATACCATATCGTATACTCTCACTTCCCCGAAAGTAGACGTCGTGTTGAATAACGGTTTCGCTGACCCCGACTCGCCGATTTTATGAAGACCAGACCAGGACTACTGTACAGGTAGCACAAAGGTAACGATGTTAATAATCTGGAGATGCCGGGGTAAAACAAATTCGAATACGAGTCAGATTCCGAATGACCCAAGGCTGGTTCATAACATTTTCGTATGTCTCTTCCCACATTGGTCATGGTCATCAAGCCATCTACCAAAACAAGGAAAAGATAAAGCCATTTCTCAATATCTAATAGATAGCAAGCGTGAAAAAGATAAGAGAGAAAACTTGTTGGAGATAACACCCTACCAAATTTCAACATCACCCGCCCTCCAAGTTTCCGACCCCCAACCCCCAACATGTGCTCTCCAAACTGTGCCCCAGGTTTAACTCTCCAGCTTCCGTGACTTCGGCGAAACTGAAAGTCCACCAATCACATTCTGTATACGACAACGGATTAGCCGAACCCGTGATCTTGCTTCTCGAAGCCTTTTCGAAGGTCGAACAGCCGAAAGCACATCTTGGCGACGATGATCCTCACCCGCACAAAGACCAAAATAGAAAACCATCAGACTAGGGGTAAAACTACGGCAGATCACAAGAGTCAACCCAATCTTCCTCTTCATATCACATATCAATAGCCTCATTGTCACGAATCTCCTTTATCATTACATACCAACTTATGCAATCTGTCTTCTCTTGAAGAAAACAACAAGGACTTCTCAATTTGTCAGAAAACCAAAAATCTACTTTAGGTAATTCCTTCGCTCAAAACTTCGGCGGTTGGACATGGAGACCCCACCATTCTGTCCACCATTCAGTCCACCCT